TGCAACTGTCTCATTATGTTGCCCTGGGTAGAGTGCTGTGGCATCACAGCTCACAGCAACCTCAAACTCTTGGGCTCAACTGATTCTCTTGTCTCAGCCTCCCAAGTAGCTGGGACTTCAGGGGCCTGCCACAACGCCCTGCTATTTTTTTTGTTGTTGCGGTTGTCATTGTTGTTTAGCTGGCCAGGGCCAGGTTCAAACCTGCCAGTCTCTGTATATGTGGCTGGCGCCCTACCCACTGAGCTTACGGGCACCGGCCCTATTTATTTTTTTATTTTGGGTTAATGTGAGGGTACACACAAGAAGATCAAAACATTTGATATTGTTAGGGAGAGAGTAGTTACGTTCCACACACAGATGGTGTTCAGATACCCCCATCCAGCGCTCCTCCCTCCCTTTTCCCCCTCCCTCGTCACCCCACTTCCCATCTTGAATTGATCTGAGTTTTTCTCCTGGGTGGGCACTCACCACACCATCTGCTGGCTTCATATTAGTAGTGAGTACATTGGATAATTGCTTTTCCATTCTTGTGATACTTTACCAAGAAGAATGTATTTCAACTCCATCCATCCATAATACAAAGATGTAAAATCATTGGGTTTTTTTATGGGTGAGTAATATTCCATGGTATACATATACCCATAATTTTTAATCCGTTCCTGAGTTGATGGGTATTTAGGCTGTTTCCACATTCTGATGATTATAAATTGAGCTGCTATAAATAATCTAGTGCAAATGCCCTGTTGACAATTATCTGTTTATAATCTTTAAAATTTAAATGTATATGTTATGCATGTATTTTAAAATTATAAATTTAAAGAGTGGCACCTGTGGCTCAGTGGGTCGGGTGCTGGCCCCATATACCGAGAGTGACGGTTTTGATCCTGGCCCCAGGCAGCTAAAACAGCAATGGCAACTGAAACAACAACAAAAATAATAATTATAAATTTAAATTTAAAAGTGCATATTTATAAATACATAATTTATTATTTTTAAAAGTTAAAATTTAAATGTGCCAGTAATTATAGATAATTATGCATAATTATGTAATCTTACAAATATCTTTCTGTTTTTAAAAATGTTGATGTTTATAGTGCACATGTATTTTTAAATTATAAATGGAAATTTAAACATGTATGCTTATAAATATATAATTACATTTATATATGCACATACACGCAATACTCACACACTGGGAAAGTTTACTTTCTGGTTATAGGCAGTGCCTGGGTTATAAACGAGAGAGCTTGTCTAGATTTCTGCATTAAATAGAATTTGTATGTAAGTTGGAACAGGTGGTTTTACCTGTTTTACCTATTACCGTGTTTCCCTGAAAATAAGACACTGTCTTATATTTATTTTTTCTCAAGAAGACACACTAGGGCTTATTTTCAGGGGCTGTCTCCTCTCCGCGGAAATGCATGGGGTGGCTATGCAACATATCTGGGTCCTCCATATCTGCATAGCCACGCCCACCACTAGGTCTTATTATGTGGTAGGGCTTATATTTAACAAATGCATAGAAATCCTGCTAGGGCTTATTTTGGGGGTAGGTCTTATTTTCCGGGAAACACGGTTGCTGTCACAGAAAGTCATAAATAAGTCTGATGTTTGTGCTTCTGTTTGTAAGTGTGAGTCACACATAAAAGGCCTTTTTGTAACTCTGGGACTGCCTGCACTTTGGAGCAGTGGTTTTTCTCAACCTTCCTAA